TAAGTGAAATAGGTCAGGCACAGAAAGAAAAATATTGCATCCTCATTTGGAATCTAAAAATATTGACATCATAGAAGTGGAGTAGAAGAGTGGTTACAGGAGGCTGGCAGAAAGGGGTTGGGAAGGGCTGGTTAATAGTCGCTGTTAGGAAAAGTAACTTGTCGTGTCCTGTCACCTAGCAGGGTGACAAAGTATAAAATGGCCAAGTAGTGAATATTTCCAAACAAAAGAACAGTGAATGCTTTTATCACAAAGAAATAATACATGTTTGAGGAAACAAACAAGCTTGCTCTGATTTGAACATTGCATGTTATCTTTCCTTTGAACATGACATCTCACAAATATGCACAATTCTTGGGTCTCTCGATCTAATATAACTCAGAAAAGTCAAAGGATTGTATTGATGTGAGACCAGAGATGGCTTTTGGTCTTGATCAGTTCCAGGTGTTGTGGACACTTAGGGCGTGAACTTAATGTTTGTGAGGTCTTGTCTTTCTCTCTCTCTCTGTGTCCTGCCACCTTTCAAATAAATAAAAAGAAATACATGTTAAAACTTCCAGAATAGTTTGCTCTCCTGGCCTCTTCATTGCCTCTTGCATTCCTTAGCACATTCAAAGTCCATGTTGTGTTTCCCTGTGGCAGGAAATATTTCCTTATCAGACAGAATGCAGGTAAAACTCCCCCTTCTTCCTGTGGCCCATGACTTACTGCATTATTGTGTATGAGCACCATTGCATGCTGGCATTACCTGCCTTGTTTGTCCACAAGTTCTTCGTGTGTTGCTTGCTCTCCACATTTTTGGCTATTGTGTTTGGGCTGTGCTTCATTGCACTGGGATTGCCAAAGAAACAAGACAATTCTGCCCAGGGTATATGTACTTTGTCTTCATTGGTGTGAAGCTTTGTACGGTGAGTGTCCTACCTCATGGGGGATAAAGCAAATAAGGATAACTGGGCTAGGAAAAACAAACGAGAGGGTGTTTGAGGAAGTTCATGGAAAATAAAATTCAAACATAGGTTTATTTTGGTGCACCTAAAAAATTCCGCGCATGATGCTTTTCATCATACATATTTTCTGTGAACTTTTTGAAGATTTCTTGCATGCATGGATTTCCAGGGATAAAAGAAATGTACCTCTTTTTAAAAAAAATTATTTATTTTTCATTGGAAAGTCAGATATGCAGAGAGGAGGAGAGACAGAGAGGAATATCTTCTGTCTGCCCACTCACTCTCCAAGCAGCCGCAATGGCCAGAGCTGAGCTGAGCTGAAGCCAGGAGCCAGAAGCCTCTTCTGCGTCACCCATGTGGGTACAGGGTCCCAAGGCTTTGGACTGTTATCAACTGCTTTCCCAGGCCACAAGCAGGAGCTGGATGGGAAGTGGGACCACTGCAATTAGAACTGGTGCCCATAGGGATCCTGGAACGAGCAAGGTGAGGACCCCAGCTGCTAGGCTATTGTGCCAGGCCCAAGAAATTTACTTTTTAATTTCATATTCCCCCCGCTTTTTTGAATGAACTGCTGTTGAAGTGACCGCCATGGTAGAGAGAATAGGCTTTAGATCCAGATGGCCAATGAGTTTTGCCTCCTGGCTGCACAACATGTACTGACTGACTTTCTTAAGCTTGAGTCTTTCTGTGTCTCGGCTTCCTTGCCTAGAAAAGGGGAACAAAAGGATGACCTCAGGATTACTATCAGTGTAAAGCCATACAAGCCTATGGTGTATAGCCAGACACTCGCCAAATGTAAGCTGTTGTGAAGTTTCTTTCCTTTCATTCCTAAGATTTATTTATTTATTTCATTTGAGAGGCAGATTTTTACAGAGAGAGAAGAAAAAAGAGAGTCACAGAAAGATATTCCATCTGCTGGTCCATTTCCCAAACAATTGCTCAACAGCTGGAGCTGAACAGATCTGAAGCCAGGAGCCAACAGCCCCCTCTAGATCTCCCAGGGGGGTGCAGGGCCCCAGAGCTTTGGGGCCTCTTTAACTGCTCTCCCAGGCCATAAGCAGAGAGCTGGAGAAGAGGTGGGGAAGCTGGGACATGAGCTGATGCCCATACGAGATGCCTGCGCCACAGGTGAAAGCTTAGGCTACTGTGTTACAGCCTCAGACCCTGCCAGGTTTCTTTCCATAATATTTTCCATCTTGTGGTTTCTGGGGAATGGTTATTAAATGTCATCTTCTAGGTCAAGAAAAGTGAGATGTAGAGAACACTTCAGCGGCAGCTGGACTCTGTGTTGGGAACCCTGCACATCTGCTGAAGACTGACTCCAGGGAGACGATGTTAGTCCCTCACCCTGGCCTTTTCTTCTGTCCTTTTCCATCTCTCGCGCTGCAGCAGGAAACACAGGCCAGCATACTCCCAGATGACCGGGACAGGAGCTAGGGCCCTCCCCAGGGCCAGAGCCCTCAAACTCATCCCTGCAGAACGAGCAGGAACTCATTCAACCTCTCAGTCACAAGGTGCCTGGCAGAACAATGAAACAATGATATTTCTCATGTGCCCTCTTGGTAAGAAAGAAATGGGCTGATAGAGCGAATGGCATCACAGGGTTTTCCATACTTCCGTGATTATGGTATGTGCTGGTTGTTAGGCTCAGCAGCCAAGTCTCTTTCAGGGATTTGCCTGCAGGGGAGTTGCCTGCGTCACTATGTGGGACAGGAATTTCTCCCCTGCCCCTCAGCGAGGCAGCTCCCCTAACAGCTAGGAGCAATGAAACCTCCCTTCCCCAGGATCTTATCAGAGTTTTGGCCACACCCAACCTTCAGTACCTTTTTTGTATTTTCCCTCCGGGGGCATTCTCTTGGGTGGGCGAGGCCTTTTTTTTCCACAACCTTTGAGAATTTAGGGACCAGAAGCTGAGCACTCTATAAAAGCACAGCCAAGCTGCCCCTGATGTGTTTGCCGCCCCTGCCCTGTCCTGCCCGCAGCAGCCTCTGAGTCTTTGCACCGCTGGCACCATGATCCGGGCCACCCTGATCCTCGCTGCCCTGTGTGGCTTGGCTGTGACTTTCCCAGCTCTGACCTCAGGTGAGAGGACTGCCGAGCAATAATCCTTCCGCGGTGTGTCTGTGTGCCTGACCCACTGTGCTAGGAGATGGGGCGGGGAGGGAGGAGAAGAAAGAGCAGGGGAGTAACAGCGAGATGGAGACACCTTTATCGAAGACATAAAAGGAGCCTTAGCAAAGTTGGGATGACTTGGTCTTAAGGTGAAGGTGTGTGGTTGAGTTTTGAGACCTTGGGTAATTGACTAGCTGAGCTGAGATTGGGATTGTGGGGTTTGAATCAGCCTCAGAGGCTGGGCAGACAGGAGAAGGCAAGGGAAAGAATGACTGAGGCTTTGCTGTGGGTCGTGTTCAGCATTGGCTGCTTCAAGTTCATTCAGGGAGGAAGTCTGAATACATTCTACTCACAGGCGAGGTTAGTGAATTCCAGGAAATCAGTGGGCCTGGAAGGGAAATGTGCAAGGGCAAGTGGTGTTGAGAAAGGAACGGAGTTAGGGTCCTGAGAGCCAGACAGCCAGGAGTCTTTCCCAGCCACTTCCCCCTGCCGCCCCACCCCCAAATTTCTTTGCCAGTTCTTCCTGAAGTCTAGCTGGATTTTCAGTGGGATGGCTGCTTGCTAGCTTGCCTCATAATTGCTGCTTTTCCTGCTGGGATCTTCCCAGCTCTTGCCCTGGTAGCTTTCGGTTTCTGCTCTGCAGGCTTTCAGCTTCTTTCTGATACGCACAATGATTACTTCACAGAGCCCAAGGACTCTGCCCTGGGGCGGCTGCAGTGGCTGCAGATCTGCGTTCACTGTGGCCGGAGGAGACTTGTCTGCTCAGCTGACTTCCACAGCCAGGGTCCCAGAAGGCTGGGTGCTGAGCTCTGTGCGCTCCTGTGAACTGCAGTTCCAGGCATGAGCCATTAGAGACAGCGGTGGGAGCAGCGCACATCCCAGCTGCCTCCATCCTTGCGTCTACTTCTTGGGAATGGCTGTGTGCCTGCGCCTGGACTCTTCCTGGGTTCTGCTGTAGGCTTCCAGGAGCCCGGAAGGATGCTCAAGGCCCGGCTGGGGATTGTTCTCCTGCTCCAGTCTGGCCAGTGCTCCTGTGCAGTCACAACATTCTAAAGCTTTCATGTAGTAGGGTGGGGGGGGGTCTCCCTTGAGCACATCCCTCGGTAGCTGCCGGCCCTGTGGCTTTCCAGCAGTGGGCAGAAGACACCTGCAGAGAGTACATTGGATTATCTCCCACTTGATGTTCTGTTTTTTTTTTCCCCAGAGGAGGATGCGGCTGGGATGGGCGGGGTGTGGAAATGGAAGAAGCTGTCTCACTGGAAAGTGCTTGAGCTGTTCCTCTCTTTTTGGCTCCTCTAGAATTTGTCACCGACATGCCAGAATGGTCTTCTGGTCTGGAGTTGACCACAGATCTTGAATTAACTTCAAATGTGGAGGTGGTCACAGACGAATCTTCCACTGCTGTGATGGACCCGACTGCAGACACGGGATCAGCATCAGCCGACTATCCTGAGAGCGCACACACTGCTGGTGAGTAGGGGTCTGACTTTGGAGGAGGCGTGTCAGGTGTTGCTGGGCTCCCCATCTTTTCCATTGCCATGGAAAGCCTGCTCCCCTCCTCCCAACCCCTATTGTATTGGAATCCCATGCTTGTTGTGACCACCCTCATCTTCCATGTTGGTTTGCTAGGATTCTCAGCTGCTGCTCCCGAGGGCTCAGGCACCGCCAGCATTGTGGAACTGGCTGCTGAGGCGGCAGGTAAAGGTTGTCTTCGCACAGCCGCACTGTGCCTCTCCTTGCTCCTGTCTCCCGGCAGAGGCATGCCCTGTGGTTTGGGATGGTTTTACCGCTCTGTTCTCTCAGGTGGAGGAGCCTTTTCCAAAAGTTCTTTGAAATTGGAGAGACTTTAAACATTTTCCCAGAGTCACCAGAAGGCTCTGTGGGAAACGGATGAGGGTGTGCCAGGCTGGCCCTCCTGGAAGCAGCTCCTGGGCTCCGCTTAAAGGGAAGGAGCTCATTGGTGTCTCCACGGGGGGACTGAGGGACTTGGTGACAAGAATAGGGCAGGTAACTTCCTTTTCTTTTCCAGATTATTACACCTTTCAGACGGGGAGCTTTGTGACTGAAGAATATGGTAAGTGTCAATATTTGGCTTTAGACTGAACAGGAGTGAAGGATTTAAAAACTGTAGGAATCAAATAGGCACTCTCTCTCTACCAGCTCCCTCTGGCAAAACCTTGATATGGCTTTCACTTTCCTTCCTGCCACTTAGAGAAGGGGGCCTAGGATTTCGAAGACTTCTAGCCGCATGAGCAATAGTTGGACAGATGCTGTGACCTTTTTACTGCAATTAAACATTAAGCCTAAACTAAATTATAAGCATTATAATCTAAATTATAAACTTAGAAATTAAATTATAAAATTATAAGCTTATAAGCTAAATTATAAGCATTCTGGTTATTTCTACAACTGCTTTCTAGAACTTCTAACTATGACAATTATCAACAAAACAAGAAATTTCCATTATAAGTAGCAAGAGAAAATCCAGGCAGTTTTAGCTTTTTAAGTTCAAACACTTACTCCCTTAATTCTGATGAGTTCAGTGAAGCAACAGGTGATGGCTTAGTTGAATCCTCTCTCTGGAAAAGAGAGAATGGTGACAGCATAGGAAGGCCTGTTTGGTTTGAATGCTGCTCTTGCGAACGTGTGAGTGGGAGTAAAACTGAAATCTTTAATCAGATTGTTTTCATGGAGTATATGTCATTCTATGTCCAAGATTGAATGTCAGCGCTGTCAGAGAGCCTGGGTGATTAGGACAAGCAGTGCTTTGGTCCCACAGGCTTCATGGAGTTCTATATGTAGGAACCCTACTTGAGGCTCTTTAACAGAATGCCTGACAGGTTGTGAGAATTTTTCATTTGGAAATGAATGTAACTCTTCTTCACTGCAGGCCAGAACTACAGCTCTGGAGAAAGCGAGTTCTTCTAAATGGAAACGTGCGGGTAGGTTTCTTCTCTCTTGTCCCTGGTGGCTTACTAGAGATTTTCATATCATTTCTGATGCTGGTTTAAACTCACTGCAAATGGATTCCACACTTAACACTTCCCAGGTGGTGCTGTCACCCATGGAATCTAGTGAGGAGGTTAGACAAAGCCCCTTGCGAGTTTTCTCTTCCCAGCCTAATTGACTGAATTTTCCATAACGCAAAAGGCATAGGATTAACCAGGCCTCCCCTTTGAGTTTTCCAAGATTCCTGTCTTTCTTTCCCTCTTGAATGTGGATCTCAGTCCAGTCTAAGGAATCTTAACCAAGGGTCTGAAAAGAATCTCAGATTTCTGATGCTGTGAGCCCACAATTCAGTTAAAAGCTCCGAAGCATTGGGGGCTCTGAATGAGGAGGGTGGGTTTTAAGTCTTTCCTTTAGCTTCCCTGGGAGAGCCTGCGGTGTGTAAAATTTCTCACCGAGGAAGGGAAGCTGGCTTAACAATCAATCCCCAAAACGATGTATTGCAACAACTGTAATTGAGAAAAGATGGCGCTGATCTTTTGAGTACGGATTTCTCTTGTTTCTCTTGGTAATGCTTCTGTTTTTTCTTTTTGTTTAGAAAATGAATTGATTGCTTCATGAGCTGCTAACCCCACTCTTCTTGCAGCATTTTCTAAGACGATTCTGAACTGCAGAACAAGCCTAGCAGTGACAGAGGGGAGATGGCACAAGTGTGGGATTCTGGCAACTCTGAGGTGTGCCCTGTTGAGAGGAAGCAGCAAAACACTGATCCTGGGTGGGCGGTGGGATTCTGTGGGCATGGGGAAGGAGCGTTTTGTAGTTGTGTACCATCTAATGTGGGTTCAATAAATGTTAATTTGAGTTTGAGAGTGTTTATTTATTTTTTTTTAATTTTAACTTTAGATGGTGCTTACATAATTGATCAGGGTGTCAGGGTGGGAAAGATCGAGGGTCAGGTCAAGGAGAAGTGGATGTGATCATTGTTTCCAAGTTCTCCATTTCTTTTTCCTGTATCTGGGGGGAGGGGGGATGGAAGAGACCAGGGCCAAAGCCACACTGAGCCTCCCAACCAGCCCAGCAACCAGGGATGAGGAATGGCCACTCAATAGCAACCCAGGGTCCAGGTGTGGTGTGTGCTCTGTCTAGGTGCTTTCAATAGTTCCAAAATGTTGTCGATCTCACTAATCAAAAGATGAAAGAACATTTTTAATGTCTATCGACTGAAACCGTCTACCTTAGAATCTCCATTTGCCCAGATATTAGCTGTCATATTTGGGCTGGGTAGTTGTTCAATCTGTTTTGCTCTCTTTAATCAGCTATGGTAACAGATGTCTTCTACAGACCACAGTGGACTGCCATATCCTCTCTGTGGGTGTGTGAAGGGAATGAACAAGATGTTAGCAAGGTAGAGGTTTGGCTGACTAATTGTCTTTGCTGGAAAGACCTAGTGTCACCCCTTCCTACCAAGTGCTTGATTGGAGTCCCAAGTCCTTCAATTAGGATTCAATTTCCTGTTATTAAAAATCTTGGGGGGGGTCGTCTTTTAAAATTCAATGACCTGGTTCCCTGCCTCCAATGTGAGAACATCGCTGGAGTTCCAGACACCCAGTCTTGGTTTGGATAGAGATTGCTATTTGTGATTGTCTGGGGAATGAGCTAGCAGATGGAAGGTCTCCATCACTTTTTGTCCATCAAATAAAATGTAAAGAAATAAGACAGAAAATGTAGAAGAATGATCTGTTCTGGGAGAGAGAAATGGGGTAAGGTAGATCATAGGATGATGAGGTCTAGACCCACACTGATGGTGCAGGACTCAGGATCCACTATTATAAGGGTTTCCTAAGTTTGGCACCTTCCACATTAACACTATTGTCCTTTTTGCTTCCTTAAAATTACTAGCATATGAAAATGCTGAGAGAATTCTCTTGTAAACTGTGGAATGCAGGGCCAGGGAGAAACGATGCAGCTGTTTCACTCAATTTGATTTCACAAAGGAGCAGGTCAGCTTGTTGGCCACATCACTGGGAGAGGACCCTCAATGCTGTTCTAGTGTGTACATGTCCCCAGAGTGACAGGTTCACATAGAGCCCAGATCAGAGAGGAAGGCACAAGGAAATTGCATGCTGATTATTTTATTGGTCTTTGGAAAGCAGGGTTGTACAGGATGGTTCCAATGTCATGGACTTCTGAAGGACATTATCTTCTGCTTTGCTGTCTGAAACAAAGAAACAAAGAAAGGAGCGTGTTGGGAGGATTTGAAAGGGAAATAAGATGATGATACCTGACTGGTTGTACTGAAATGAGGCAGGTAAGGCCTGCTTTCTCTCTGTTCCCAAGTTGTTGTGCCCACTCTGTCAGAGTTCTCTGCAAACACTGTGTGCACCATGCACTCACGTGTTCTGAATTATGATTTGGCAGATAAAGGGAAAAGTTACGCTGTTTTGTTGGTTTTGGGAAATAAAATAGTTGTGAAATGTTACAGATATGGTTCACTGCAACATACTCTGTCATCATGAAATAGTGAAACCAGCTCAGGACATCTACATGATATTGCTTCAGTCCATGCTGGTGCAGACACAATGCGGAGATACACTGTTGTAAAACACACCAGCAGAAATCCAGAGCAGAACAACCACATCACAACACTGGCAAGATCTCTCTACATCTATGTGCTGATATCTCAGTTGTCTAATAAATATGCCACTGGATATTTATGAGAAAGACAGAGGTCTGCATATTAGCTACAGTAATTATGTACGAAGGTCATTTCTGTTTACAAATACTCAAATATCTCCAAGAGGTCACCCCAAAAAATTAATTTTTGTGGTCTTTGGTTTTGGCTTTATGGAGTTAGAATAACATTCAGATTTCACTTTGTGCTTTCTGCTTCTTTAGATATTAGATGAATTTTAAGACTAGCCTATAGATTAGTTTAAACATAGTATTAATACAATCCAGATGTTTTGAACAGCATTAAATGAAGATTTTGTTTATCTGCAATATTGCACCTTGCAGTTCTCCTCTGGAACAGGAGAGAGCATAGTGCGTACTGGCAGACACTTGGTGAGAAGTTAAGAGTCTGAGTTCAGGAGGCCGAAGGCCAAAGGAAGAATTCTGCTCAGTGTCCACGGTGCCAAAACAATGTCACACACACACAAAGATAATCAAGGTCATCAAGGAAGTTTTGTGGTAAGACTTCTCAAATCCAGAATTACTTTGCAGAACTTATTAAAACGACAGCATCTTGGCACTCTTTCTTAGAATATTTAGAGTAGAAATGTGTAAAACTGGAGCCCAGGCACAAATCATTTCCACCTGTTTGACACTGGTGCATGGCATTTGTGCTTGGTGGAGAATGATCTTGACTCTTACCTGTGATTGCTTACTGTTCTTGTTCTTGAGAAGGTTTCTGTGGTCTGTGTCCTGGATGATGTGGTCTGTTTCCTTGAGGAGGTGGTCTGTTTCCTGGAGGAGGTGGTCCCTGGGTGCCTCCCTGCTGGGCTCCTCCGTGGGGAGGTCCCTGTTGCTCTTCTGAGCTTTCTGAGCTATCCTCGGCCAGGAGGACTGTCTTCTGGGATTCGTTTTCTGAAGGAGGGGGTCTGGTACCCCGTGGAGGATGTGGCTTCTGGCCTCCCTGTGGATGTTTTTGGGGAGGTGGGCGAGTGCCATCCTGGCCTCCCTGTGGAGGTTCTTGGGGAGGTGGGTGAGTGCCATCTGGTTGGCCTCCTTCGTTTCCAGGTGGAGATGGATGTGTGTGGTTGTGATGGCCTCCTGGTCGTGGTGGTCTGTGGTATGTGGTCCCTTGGCTGTCATCACTTGTCTTGTGGTCTAGGTTTGTATAATCTGCATAGGTCATCACAGGAGTGGAAGAGTTAGTGACTGGACACTGTGTTTATTGTTATATCCCTGAACTGTTCACAAGTCACTCTCAAGTTGTGCCACGTGCCTTCACCCACACTGCTTCCCTAAGCACTAGTCCTCTTGAAGGGGCTGTCATTGTGGCATGTTGGGTTAAGCTGCCATCTGTGAAGCCAGCATCCCATACGGGCACTGTTTGAGAGCTTGGCATGCGACTTCTGCTCTGGCTTCCTGCTAATGCACCAGGGAGAGCAGCAGAAGGTGGCCCAAGTCCTTGGATGCCTGAACCTATATGAGGAGATCTAGAAAAAGCCCTGGGCTACTGACTTGGCCTGTCCCAGCTTCAACCATTGTGGCCAGTTGGGGAATGAACCAGTGAATAGGAGACCTGTCAGACCTCTCTTTTCATCTGTTTGTAACCTTGCCTTTCCAACCAAGAGATTAGCTCCATCTTGGAAATGGCTCTAATGAGTGCTTAGTTCATTCACATGAAAGGCATGCAGTCTACAGCACGTGTGCTGTCACTCCCTGTCTTTTGTGGATTGATAGAATATCCTCATGATTGTCAGTTGTCTAGTTGAAATTCTTTAGCATGTTACGATTTCACCTTCAGTTCCTGATGTGCCTGGCCTGAGGATACAGGACTTACAGCACCATAACAATGTGCAACCCCACCCTTCTTTTCTGCCACACAGCCCTTCCTCTTCTAGTCTGCACTATTGTCTAAAGCATCAAGGAAAGTCACAACATCCCATTACCCCATTAAAAAATTTTTTTTAGCATACCTCCATTTACACTCTGGATTGAGCTGAGGGCCAGCAGGGCCACGGAGAGCAGGATCAGCAGCATCTTGAGGAGGCTGTAGAAGTGCTCCCAAGTCTGTGCTGGGAGACTTGAGGCAGCTCTGCTTATAAAGAGGAGCAGAACAAGAGAAGCTTTGAGCTCCACACAGGGTGTACCTCCCCTCTTGACACACTAGGCTGACTTTGCTCACATCACATCAATCGCATCCTTTCCTTCTGTTTGGGACCAGAGCCCAGCAGGATGGAGTGTCTCACTTTTACAAAGTTCAACGCAGTATGTTTTGGGCCAGGGGTTTCACTTGTAGTGTCCGTGCACTCAGCACACATATTGGAATTGGACTTTGGTCATCATAGAATGTTTAGTTTTATGTGATGGTGACATTTCCTTTCCTTGAGTAGTTGATGTGCCTCTGTTGTATGACAGCCTTCTGCTATGTATGTGTTGGCAATAATTTTCAAACTCGAAGTAAGGTCATGAATAATTTTGTCTGTTAATATTGTCAAGACTGTATCACTGCAGAAGTGTGTGTTCACGTGTGTCCTCTTCAGATAAGTTTTCAAGCTTTTTCTGTTTTACTCTGAATACCTGAAGACAAGGTTGTTGGGTTCACACAAGAAGGCTTGATGCTCGTGCTGCTCATGTGAAAAGAGATTTTGTAAGATTCTTTGGAGATCAGGAGACCTAAAGCATTTTGTCTCGTATAATGGACTTCTGGTTTGTGAGCAGCAAAGGGGGCATGGAACATCTCAGGATGGCTTTAGCAGCCTGGGATGCATGCAGCCTTGCTCTGTTGAAGCTGCATGTTTGTTCGTGTTTGTTGTACATGTCTGATTTCTCTCCCTGTTGTGGACTCTTGTGTAAGCGATGACGTAGTTTTCTTTCCTATTGACAGTCTCCTTGTTGTGAGTTCTCCATATCCTTAGTTGTATTACACACAATTTCCTTGTCTTTCCTCTCTCTCTTTTCTTGGTCAGCATTGAATGCAGACCGTGTTCTCTGCCACTCACTGGAGGTTGTTATTCCCCATGGTCCTTGTGAAACTTACTGATCGTTTTGTTTTGTTCACGGAAATACTCCCCAGTTTTATTTTTCCTGGAAACTCCTAGCTTTTTATCTTTTTGCATTTTGGTGTAATTCCCTCATGTTGCCCTCTGAATTAGAAACTGTTTGCCTCTTGAATAGCACTCTGTCATTTTTCCTAAAATCA